CTCAGGCTGTATTGGATCTTGCTCTCTGAAATCAATGGGACTACTCACAGAATAAGGTGAACAAGGGAATTAGAACCAATTCTGCAGCATGAGTAAAGTTATTAGAACCTGCCTCACAGTTGATTAGTGGCATAGCTGACACAACCAAGTGCCAGTGTGGGAACCCTAGATTTAGAAGGAACTTTGGTATTCCTGACTCAGGCATGTCATGGTGATGCTATATCATATTTCCTATAGAAAAAAGGGGAAATAGGCAGGTGATATTTCATACTACATGACTCCATAGGATAGCCAGATAATGGAGCAGCATTAATAGATGGTCTTATTAAGACTATTCACTGAATGTCCTTGCTGGGTGTGGATGTGAAAAGCTGTAATAATATCTCAGGAGAAGAAGTGAGGTCTAATTGGGGAAAAAAAAATCAGGGAAAGGATTTGTGGCGATGTACATGAAGTACAGGGCTGGCCCAGTACAGAGTCATGAGGGTTCTGATCAAAAAAGATTCCCAAACAGCTTCCCTCTAACATACTCTTTGGCCTTCTTGGTCAATGACAAAAAAATCCTCCCTCAGAAACAACAACTTAAACAGACACTGTCGACATGAGAAGTTCTTTTAAACTGACTAATTTAAAATAAAAACTCTAGCTTCTAAGCAGTGCAACCTGATTTTATTTTTAAAATCCTTAAAGGGCATTTTAATAAGAGGTTTCCTGCTCCTCTGCTGATGTTTGAAAGTGTCTTTTACTAAGATACAGGGAAAATTCAGCAGGTACCCTTAAAAAAGTCCACTCATTTGAAAGATTAGACTAAAATTCCCTATTTTAAGGATAGAGAACTGGTACATTCTTCCATTCCAGTGGAACTTTCTAAGTAGTGCTGTCAAATGCACAGAGTAGACTGGGGGGGAAAAATGGGGAATATTCTCCTACTATATTCCTTCAGTTACAGTAATCTTATGTTTCACTTGTAACTATACTGGCTATAGAATTTTCAGGCACAATGTGATTTGCAAGTTGATCGTGTCCCTTTAAATGGAAAAATGATCTACAATAGTAGAATAATATTTCACTGATTTTGTACATAAAGAGCCTCTTGTTTAATCACATAATGATACTCAGCAGTAGAGAGAAGCCCAAACTCGAAACTTGAATCTGAAGCCTTTTCAACTCATCAAAGGAAGTAGTGTTTGAATTAAAACCCACCATCCAGCTCTCACTGTGTGGTCTGCTTAGATTGGAAGTTCTTTAGGTCAGTGATCTGTTCTATCCTGTAAAGCACTAGTTCACTCTGGAGTGCTGCATAGCTAATAACATTAATGTTACCTCAAATGTGGCTGAAATCTCATGAGAATTTCTCATAAGATGTAGCTGAATTTGAATCGTAGCCCTGATTAAACATCAAATCCAAGCCCTAAACCCTTGCCTGAACATAATGTGGATTGCAATCCAAATACTGCTTCTTTGGTGGTTCTGCCTGAAACAGTCACAAAGTAATTCCCTATAATATTTGCTCCAGAGTGGCTAACCAAGTGGAAGTTGTTTTGAGCAGAAAAATGGTCTTGTGATTAAGACACAGAAATTGAAATTGGGAGACCTTTGTTTTGGACCCGTGGCTTTGCCACAGATTTCCTGCAAGACCTTGATCAAGTCACTTAATCTCTCTGTGCCTCTGATTCTCCATATGTAAAATAGAGATACTTACCTACCTAAAAGGGATGTTGCATTGTAAAGCATGTCGAGCCAGGAAACTTGACACAAGTTCTTGTATTATTGTAAACTATGTTCTCACCTGAAGCTCTACTTTGTAAGGAATTTATCCAGCTATCCTAAAAAGCAAAGGGCTTCTTAGCAGGTAACTGATAAAACAGGTTCTGTATTTTATTGGTTTGCTAAAAAAGCACATTGGTAATGTGTGTCTTTCATTAGGAAATCAGGCTGAAAAGACACAGACATCTCAGAAAGGACCTAAAGGTTTAGAGACCAAATCAGCCTCTTGGGGGCAAAACAACTCTGTCTTAGAAAGGCTCTGATGACCTATGGGATACAAATTATTTTTTTCTTATCTGAAGCCTAGAGAAGATCACTAAGATTAGGAGCATCCACAGACAGAAGGGTGAAATTTAGGTACCAGAGCGGATAAATCGGTACTTTTCAATGCACCACATTGAGACATCAGCATCAAACAGCTGGGATAAATAAAAGTCACTTGTAATCTAAAATGGAGCAGCAATGGGAAATGGTATAGCTACATTTCTCCTACAGGCCACTCTAACGATCTGGGTAAGAATCAAATACATTAAAAATAACCTATCCCTTAAGGCCTAGAGCAAGTAACTGGATTGTATCTATTTCCTGTTGTTCTTTACAACTGTATTAGGCATGAAGCTTTATGGAAAGTGAAAATAAGAAAGATATGTCACTGGTATGTGATTTGAAGTATGAAAAATGACCACTTCTCTGCTTTTCTTACTGCTCAGATACAAGCAATTCTGATATTAATGTGACTGAAAATATACAAGAGTAGCCAGAGTCTTTCCTCTGGGTAGTAAAAAAATATCAGGGATTATAATTCTTGTGATTACTTTTTTTTTTTTTTGTTAGGAGGCAAGATCAAGTTAACAATGTGTCTGAGTTACTTTTAATAGTTTTTCTGCTCAAAACAACTTCCACTTGGTTAGCCACTCTGGAGCAAATATTATAGGGAATTACTTTGTGACTGTTTCAGGCAGAACCACCAAAGAAGCAGTATTTGGATTGCAATCCACATTATGTTCAGGCAAGGGTTTAGGGCTTGGATTTGATGTTTAATCAGGGCTATGATTCAAATTCAGATACATCTTATGAGAAATTCTCATGAGATTTCAGCCACAGTTTATTATCTATCTATCTATATATATATATACACAGACATCTAAATATCCAGATCTATATATTGCAAGGACTGTTGCATATCTCTGACAAGATCTACTGCAGATTTAACCTGCAATTGTATCACATCCTCGCCAAAAAAATAAAAATAAAAAAAATGGAGGAATAGTGTGTTAACAGTGAAGTATTTATTAAAAATAATGGTCTTTCATGGAGATAAAGTAAAGCTTCCATTGCTTCAATACTGCATCATTATCAAAAAAAGCATTGCATGGAGGATGACATGAGATTTAATTGTAAGGTTTAAAAACAATCTCGGGTATTATAAAGTACACTGAACTGCTGAAGAAAACACATCCACAGATCTGGCATCAACTGAACTTAACAGACAGTCTTAAACAGCTACTTTTCCTTCTCTAATTAGAGCAGAGAATTGTGCAGGGGCATTCACGAAGTGACATCTGATTGACAAGCAGCTGGTCTGGAGCAAGGTTGGGCTTACGCTTGCAGTAAAAAAAATGGGAACAGCTATGTCCTGAGATTGATTGTGAAAACAGTTAAACTTTAATGAATAATACATCAGAAAAATGGTAGTGTTCTATTAGGTGGGATATTTAGGCTATTTCACCCATTAAAGGAGAGAATTCAGACTCATAATACGTGAGCTTTAGATAGGATGCTTTCCTGCCAGAGAAGGAATTGAATAATCAATGCTTGCCAGTGAGATATTATGTCTGGTTTATGTATTCCACATGGCAATTTCTTAAAAAAAAAAAGTCTTGTTTGGCCGCATTCCAAAAATACAGTGTGGTACAGTAGGTCACTTGAAATCAGCAATCTTTACTAGCATGCCAGATATAGGAAAGAATCACTGGCATTCGTAATTCAATGTGCAGAATTCTTGCCTATGCTTTGAGGATGGAGTCTGAGAGGTTATGGGGGCAGGGGAAGAGGAATGCATATATATTAGATAAAGAGGAATGCAAGCAATTTCTTCTTTTAATGAATTTTTATAGCTCTGATTGAGGCAAGAGAAAGAGCATGCTCTGAACTCACATAAGTGGGACTATACGGCCACCCAAAGCATAAACAGAAAAGACAGATAGTGGCCTTGAATGAAGTTCATGACGATGTGAACAGATACAAATGCGCACATGAGAGGAAGCACTCTCCTACCATCCTAGAAAACTGCCTGCTGCTGATCATAATCCTCACACTTAATATGGAGACTGGCAGGAGAGTTTGCTAAAACAGCAGTGTCCTTTGTTTGATGGGCCAGTCTCCAGCACAGATTTCCAGAATAGCTTGGTGTCAGCACAAATTAGTTCAGCAGTTAACCCTCGGTTCCATTTAGGAGAACTTTTTTCTGGATAGCAGCCCAATCTCAAAACTAACAAGTCTAACAAATGGGAGCTTCCAGTTAACATTTTAATAATGTTTAGATCCTGATTCCAGAGGCTTTAGAACTTTGGGCAAGTGTACCAGTTGTGTGCAGATTGAACCCCCATCCTCTCAATAATGGGATTATTTGACTACAGTGACATCTAATCCCGTGTTTTTCTGAAAAAAGTTCACCTCCCCTAATTTGCATTGGAATAATACCTGTCATCTACAAAAAATCTTCATATTATATGAGATAGTGGGGGACATGGCAAAGGAACCAATATCTATCTGTAGAAATATTAGATTTCTCTAAACTAAAGACTACATAAACACAGAGGGCCAAATTCTGCCCTCAGACATGTATGTTCAGCTCTTGTTCAATACAATGGCATACACATATGTGCCTCTACAGGGAGTATTTGACACTTATGCATTCTTTGTGTTATATTCCTATAATCAGAGATGATTCCTATTTTGTAATATCTACATACAGTCATGTCATAAAGTTCTGACTTGTGTCTGAGTGAGAGGAATGGAAGGGGATGGGGACAAGACATGCAGGGCTGAGGATAGGAGAAGGTATACATTCATCCCCAAAATTAGCCCGTGAAAACATTTTTAGTCTCCCAACAGCAAAGCAGACACATGGAAGGATTACAGTCCATGTAAACTTCTGTTTAACATTTTAATTACATTTAAACCTCAACACAAATTCGGGACGCATACAGTACAGTAGTTCAAAAACCAACCAGTGTGTCGCTGTCTATCAGAGGCAGAGCCCTGTGTATTGTGCAGCATATTGGATCTAAATTCTTTGGCAAGATCCCCAATACCCCCTGGTTTCTGTGGAATTTTGGCAAGGAGTTCTGTGGTGATCAGATTTCTGCAGCAGAATGGAAACAAATAGAAAAACAGTAAAAAATAAATAAATAAAACAAACTGGCAAACTGCAAGGAAATGTTAACTCTATAATTTATAACAAATTTTACACGAACACTACACATATGAGGGGAAAGACTGTAAGAAAGCAAACACAGTACAACTTTGGGGGGCGGGGGGAAGAGAAGCTTCCTCCATCCCCCTACACACAGAACTATTTGGTGTTTGAAGAATCACATCTCCTTTGTCTAGTTCCATCTGTATCATAGTTAAAATGGGATGTGAGTCTTTCTTTCCCCACCTTCAAGGCAATTCTCTGTCATTCAAAGTGTGGGAATCCACACTCCCTCTCTCTCCCCAGAATATCTTCCAAGGGACTCCTCTGGCTCCCCATAGAACAGTTTCTCTGATAACCTTTCTCAGGCTGGAGGAGAAGTCCAAGTAGCTGCACCTCTCCTCAGTGGGACACAGCAAGTCCCATGCTACCATCAGTTGCATACTAATTCCCACTGTTACTCCATATGCATCATCGTCAAAAGCACCATCCTCTGGCCGAGCATTATCTCAGGGATAAGCCGCACTGACAGAGGAAGAAAGGGATGAGAAACAGTTTTTGGTGACTGGTGTCCTCCTGTTCCTCTGACCAATACAGCACACTACCACTGTTCTGCCAGATGAGACTACCTAACAGAACAGGTAACAGTTTCTGTGGGTCCCTTATCAAGGAGGAAATTCCACTGCTATTTCTATGACAACAAAATCCCAGGAGTCAATAAGCCCTGATCACAGTTAAGTATCACACTATAAACAGTTTCATTACATTTGTGTTATAGTAGGTACTGCCAATTTGATTTTTAGAAACAACTACTCAGCCCTTGTTTTCACATTAAGAAACTGAAAAAAAAACAGCAAAAACTGGAGAATAAAGTAAAAATTACTGAGGTATTCAAAAATATATTGGTGTTAAATCAGAGTACTATACGCTGCACTTTGCTTTTCCTAATGGTAGGTATGGAACTGACCTTACTGTGTCATAAAACAGCTACACAGATGAAATGTAATGAACCTGAGAAGCAAATGAGCTTCAGGTGAAGACAGGAACCAGGATACTGTAGTGACAATCTCATTAGTCAAATCTGGTGTGGTACACTCTCTGCTATTTATCACCGTGCTATTTCTGAGTTCCTAATCAAATGCAAACACTCAACCCCAAGAACCCATTTAGCATGAAACTTGTTCTCTACTTTAGAACTTAAAGTTTTCTTTTTAATGGGAGCTTTAGTACTGCATACCCCCTACCCCACTGTTCTTGTCAAATTAAAGGAAAAATACAAGGGATTTGAAAGACCTCGGTGGCAATTTCAATTGTATTGATTCCTTGAACTTGTTGGGACTATAAACAAAATTGTAGGAGGATCTCTAGGTAGAAGGGAGAGATAGCTAGCACTGTGTCTTAGCAATTACAAGAGAATGCAGCCAAAATAAAGAGATAGGGCCTGAAGATTTAATAATAGCCCAGATGACATGATTGGTGAAAACCCAACATCCCACCATTCCAATCACCCTGCAGCACTACATGTTTGCCTTGTGAGAAAACACATGCTCAGATGCCTGGGGCCTCAGATCTATATTTGATTCTCATTCCCAGGCTCTCAGTCCAAAAAACTGGCACAGGCTGGGATTAGTGTGGATGATATCAGGGCTGATGGGGAGGGAGTGTCCGGTGTTGCTTACCACTGACCGGTCTAGCTGATTAGTGTGAAAGGTACAGAAAGGAGCCTCATTCAGGCAGAGGAGAGATGTAAAAAAAGGGAGAAATGATGCAAGGGTCTTGAGAGTGGAAGATAACATGGGTGCGATCTCAGGATTCTTACAAGCACCACGCTGTGTACAGTAAATGATTCAAGAGGCTAGACTGTACCTTAAGGCACAGCCCTGCTGTGAAGGTGAGAGAAAGAATGCTGCTGGTAGGAGCTCCTCAAGGCATTGCACTTGAGGTCCATGTTACATTTACTTACAGCATCCAGCATGAATTCTCCCCTCCTCATGTGGAGCCCGCTCTGCTCACCTTGTAGAGATGAAGGGCTGCTGTTGGTGCTGCCCTCAAGCAGTCCTTACACATACTGATGATTCTGGCTTCTACATAGGGAGTTTGGAAGCTCCTTGTACCTTCTCTCCCACCTTGTGCAACTGCCAGGGCCAGACACAATCTGACCCAAAGTGTTTTTCATATTATTACCGTATGTCCACTCATCTAACTACTTATCTAACTACTATGCAAATATAATAATATTACATAGCTCTTACATACTTCTTTTCATCAGTATAGCTTGCAAAACTTTACAAAGGGAGTTAAGCATCATTAGCGCCATTTTATGGCTGGTGAAACTGAGCCATAGGGAGACAATATAGAATACCCTACAAAGTGATTGCATTCTTCATCATTCATATACAAATGCTAAAAAGCAGAACAGTCACGTCAATGGTTAATGTAAAATGTTTCCAAAATGATATTTCCATTTTAAGGTGAGCTTTTGCCAAAATAATATTAAACTGGCCCTCTCCTAAACGGCAGTGTGAGGTAGATATTCCACCAATAAAACCCACTCTGATCCTGGGAACCTTCGTTCAAACACTGGCTCTTTGATGAGCCAGAACTCTGACATCTGGAACTTCCTGGGCTGCCTCCAGATGGGAAACAATAATCCCAATATTTTGCCAGAGGTCATCTTTCTTTAGGATGGGCCAGGTGCCTATAGCCAAAAACACAGACTGCAGCCGAGCAGTTTGCTAGCCAAATTCAGAAAGACAGTATCCTGAAAATGATCGTAACATTCCTAGTGATGGCAATGTCATATTCACATATGGGATATACTGTTGTCTAGCAGGCCAAAAGCAGCACAAACAACATTTAAATGTGAAAAAATTAAGATGGCTCCTTTATGGATCATAAGTAAACGTAATCCAGAAGATGAAGCTTGAGATTGATATTAATGTCAACAAGGAGATAAATATATTTTGATTTAAAGCCTGGTATGTGATTTGATCTGAAATCAGTGCCAAGATGCATCATAAGCTGTCAATTGCCATTTGCTGTGATAATTTGAGACATTTGTGTATTTAAATATAAGTATATTCCTATGATACTCTGTAATTCTGAAAATTCTCCTGAAACCACTGAAGCTGGCTTATTTCCCAGACATCTCCTTGTTAGCAAATCCTCATCCTGTGTATATATATATATATATATACACACACACACACACACACAGTATCATAAAATGTAAAGCTACAAAAAGGGCCAGGTGCCTTGCAGGTTTATGAGTTTGGGGAAAATGTACTGCTATCACAAATTATATTCCCAACTAAACTCTTAAGGACAATATTACAGAGATAACAGAGATTAAATGTTCTTTGAGTCTTTTGTCATTTTGAAATGAAGTTATCCATTTGTTGATTGAAATTTCCACTACTTAATGTATTTTTTCTGTGTCATAACCCATGATTATTCATCTGTGTAAAGTACAGCTCTAGCTCTCACAATTAACTATGTACTGGAGTTTGGCTAACTGGTCTAGTGAAGGGTGTCCAAAGTATAGACAAAGGGCCAAATCAGGCTCACTGAGTCTTAAAATAAAGTCTATGGTTTCTCTAAGTTGACCAAAAGTAAATTTATTGTTGGCAGAAATGAAGGTGCCTAAGGATTTTAGACTCCTACCAGGTTAGGCAGCAGCTGGGCATGGGTTCTGATCATCTAAATTGTGGACACAGGCACCTAAAGTGGCAGTTAGGTGTCTATGTCACTTTTGAAAATGGAACTGAAGCACTTGAGGCACACAGGGCCTTTTGAAAATTGTTCCCATACTGTGTAAATATTACTCAGGTGCATTACAGAGCAGGTCTACTCTGAAAATGATGGTAAGGATGAAATCATCCTTGTTTTGTCTCAAAGAGTTCCATATAGAAGGCTGCTTTTTTCCAGGGCTGGAAGTTGGAAAATCATCCTTTTTTTATGACCTGACCTAGTTTGATATGGAATTAGCGAGACACAATAAACACAGAACCCTACAATGCCGTTTTTACAGAAGTTTTTCATAGCAAAACCACACTAAGCACTGAGGACTGAGTGTACTCCTTAGGCTAGATTGGGCCCTAGTTTTACATGGCCCAGAATAAGGCCCTCCTTCTCTGGTGTGGAACTGGAAGCCTCCTTCACATCACAGCTCCACTGAGAAACCAGGAGAACAAAGCAGACAGGTGATGTGGGAGAAAGAGGCTGGAACCTATCAAAACCATCTCCAATAATTACTGTAAGCACTCATAAGAGGTCATTCACTGATTAAACTTCCATGTTCCTGCTGAGCTAGACTCATGCCATTTGGAACATTCACGTAATATGAGTAATTAAATAAAGAAATATGAGTTTTCCATCAGAGGTCACCAAAAAGGCATCAGTCATTCTCATCAGGTTACAGCAGCCAAAATGCCCTTGCATGCATATTTGGGGTAACAATGTGTAAAAGTTACATTAATTGTTTCCCCTGAGCTGGTTGTGTTGGGAATTAAGCCTTCGGTTTGGAGCAAAGAAGATCATCTGAAGTCATCGGTGCAGAAATATTCAAAAGTGACTGCTGATTTTGGGTAGCTCAACTTGAGACTTGAGAACTGGAGCCGAGGAACTGGCTCATTATGTGTCTGAGATAGTAAGGTAGCCTTTCTACCAGTTTTACAAGAGTTTTACAGTTCTATGAAATTACTTCGTTCCATTTTTACCATACACATAACAATAAACAGTGTCAGTAGAAGGGCACATTTATGAACAAAAGGTCAATGTTAAAAGCAGCACTTTAGTGATCACAAGTACTTCTCTTCATTTAAAATAATGAAACTAAATGACATCGCATTTAAAAACTGGAGCTCTCTAAAGGCAAGCAAGTTCACTGCAGGTGCCAGTGTTGATAGCCGGGTCTGCTGAAACTGTTATAATTTCATGGGCTGTCTGTC